GTGCCCGGGCGGGTCCGTCAGCCGCGGGCAGTAGAAGCCGGGGTGGGAGCGGCCATCAGGGCCCACGTAGCCCTCGCAGAGGTGCAGGTTCTGCACCAAGACTGCAGCGGGGAGCAGGGCATTGCAGAGGGCAGGGAACAAGCCCCCACTGCGGGGACGTGGAAACTGTGCAGCGCCTGCAGGACAGGCTGCCAGCTCCACACCATGCTCTGTGCCGCGATGCAGCGGAGCAGGCCTGGGCTGGGCTGGGCTCAGCAGTCCAGGGAGCCTGGCTAACATGGCATGGGGGGCCCAGCTCACCCCTCAGAGGGGGCTACACCCCACGAGGCAGCAGCGGCAGAGCAGAGCTCCCCTGGCACTGCCTTCTGGTGCCATGGCCCTGTGTACGCCGTGACCTCCAGTGCTCACCGAGGCCTCGGCAAGGGCAAACGTGGACAAGGGCAGTGATGGTGGCAGAGGGGAGGGGAAACCGCCCAGGACAGCAGGTCAGCCCCCAGCCCCCGTGCTGAACCCCTCCCAGTGGCCCCTGTGGGGACAGCACTTAGACCCCACAGAAGTGCGGCAGTGGGAGAAACCCCAGCACCACCACACCTGGGCCCCCATCCCCAGTATGGACCACCACCTCTCCCTGCAGAGCACTGCCTCCCAGCACAGACCCCCACCGCTGTCGGGGAGCGACCCTCAGGGGACAAGGCCCCATCAGGGATGGGCTCAGGGGGCAGGAGGGGCAGGAATGGGGCTGTACCTGTCCCAAGGATGCTGGGCAACAGAGCCGCGGTAAGGAGCAGCTGGAGCAGGTGCCCATCCAGCATCTTCCCGGCCAGCCCTGGGCAGAGGCAGTTGTGGCTCCAGTGGAGGCAGAAACCACAGCCCCTCCTGCTCCCGCCTCCATCGAGCCTCCACCAAGAGCCGCTCAGAGCCATTAGAGCCTCCTGCACTCCCCTGTCCGCAGGGACCGGGCTGGAGGCGGGAGCATCAGTAATGAGCTTCTGGGGCCAGGACCAGGATGGCAGGCTCCCTCCCCAGCTGGATGCAGGGCATCCGCTGCCGTGTCCAGGGTCCCAGCTGGGCACCTGGGCCCATCCTGGGGTGTCTGAAAGGGCACTGGACCAGGTCAGGGCACAGGGCAAGCATTGCGTGGTGCTGAGCTTTCAGGGGCCAAACCCATGGGATGTGGATGTGCTGGGAGTTGTGCAGGAATTGTGGAATCACAGAATCATTTATGTTGGAAAAGACCTCTAAGCTCATCCAGCCCAACCCACCCAAGCCAGAGCTGAGGCAGTTCCACACCCCACCCTGTCCTTCCCAATGCCCTCCCTGCTGGAAGCAAGTAGCCCCAGGGGGCCAGGAAGCATGGCCTGTGGTTCCCACAGCAACCAGGAGGATGCTCTGGTGACACTGTAATTAGCTGCGACTCAGCCACTGCAGCTCCAGCAGAGCAGAGCGCCAGCCTTGCTCTGAAATGGGGCTAAAGGCTCTGGGTTTGGGGGAGGCACTCCCACACTTCACCCAGGCATTGCTGTCCGCACCAGGAGCTGACTCCCAGCCCCGGGCTCCTGCCCAGCACCAGGCACTGCCTGCTCCCAGGCACAGCTGGGCCTGGCCATGCCACCAGCCTCTCACAGGTGCCAGGGGCTCCTGGCTGGCCCCCACCTGCCTCGGAGTGCTGCCCTGTCTCCCCACAGCACACCATTCCTTCTTCCCTGAGTGAGAGCAACAAAACACACGGACACCAGGGCCATTGGAAACAGCCTTGTGTTTCCTATGTGCTCCAGGAGAGGTCAGTCCCAAGTCCACAGCACTTCCTCAGGCAGCTGCCCAACACCGCGGGTGCTCCTGGCCTCCCCCTGCTGCCCCGCCAGTCAGGGGGAGCCCTGCACGGGCCCTGCCCCAGCCACCCTCGTGGGCAGCCTGCCTGTGACAGGGCAGCAGTGTGTGTCCCACCAGCAGCAGCAGAGCCCAGCCTGCAGCCCTCCCCAGCCACGCTCGGCCCACCCGGCACTGTGTCCAGCAACGTCAGCTCCAGCCCTGCCACAGCAGTTCATTCCAAAATCTATCTGAGAACACGGAGCTAATAAATTAGAAAGTGGCAGCACAGCCTCTGCCAGTCTGCTGGCCCTGCAGGCTCCACTGCTGCACTGGTGCTGCTCCTGTGCTGTCCAGCCACTCCACTCCTCTCCCGCTTGACACTACCCCAGGCGGATGCGGAACGTGGCGATTTCCATGGGGTCCAGGTGGATGTTGGTGCTGTTGGAGGCTGTGCCCAGCGGGTACATCAGTGTCAACGAGGTGGGCTGCAGGGAGCCCAGCTCCAAGCCCTGGAACAGGCCTCCCAGAGCTAGCTGAGGAGAGAGGAGGAAGTGGGGAGGCCCAGGTGAGGATGTGATGCCTGGGGCAGCACTGTGCCCAGGACAGCCTGACACGTGCCATGGCTGCCATGCTGAGCTCCCAGCCCAGCTGCTCCAGAGGAGGTGTGGGGGCAGCCTGGCCCTACCTTGCCCTGGCTGGTGGTGCAGTTGAAGCCCAGGTTCTTGGCCTCCAGGCTGCAGTCGAAGCCTTTGCGGTGCAGGATCAGTGCTGCCTCAGCCGATGGTAGTGAGTCATCCTGCAGGGAGCGGGAGCGTGAGGCACAACACTGGGGACAGCAGGGGCAGCACCCCACCAGAGTCCCACCATCCCTGGGCCGTGGCTCACCTCTGCCTGCAGCGTCCGCAGGTTGAGGATGTGGAAGTCACAAGGAAGGGTGGTGGCAAGGGGCACGAAGGAGCGCAGGGCTGGCAGGGCTGGCTTCTCCAGTGCCACCGGCATTACCAAGGCCTCAGCATTCTGGTGCACAGAGGTGATGTGGCTCAGCAGGGAGGGGAAGCTGATGGGGCGCTCATCCTGCACCTGCCAAATAGCACACGGGTCAAGTGTGGGCCCAGGAACGCAGGCAGAGCCTGGGCAAGGCCCAAAGAACCTCCATTCCAGCAGCGCCTTGAGACCAGGCACCTGCCAGCACAGTGCACATGGAGCTGCCCCTGCCCAGGCAGGTCCCCCTGCCCCAGCACCAAACAGGACCCCAGCTAGCTGACGGTCAGGCTACAGACCTGCTACAAGCCTGGCTAGACTAGTGGCTAGCAGCTAGTGCACGAAACAGGGAGAGACAGCAGGGCCAGGCTGGCCATTACCTCAGGGCTGCCAGTTCTGGTGCCAGGGAAGCTCAAGGCTTTAAACATGGAGACCAGTTTGGAAAAGAAGCCGGAGCTCTGGATGGGTGGCACAGCACACGCATAGAGGGCAGCGAGGGGATTGGACAAGAACACTGTGATTATGAGGGCAACGTGGCTCCACAGGGGCAGAGCCCACTGCACGTCCTGCACTCCCCATGCCCCCTGCTCCAGGCCCATCCCTGCCCAGTGCCAGCATAATGGGACAAGAGGGGAGAGGACACCGCATCCCATCACGTGTGGCTTTCTGCAAATGCCTCCACCCTGCTCCATCCCAAGGCAGGCTGGGCTCTCAGCCCTGCTGCCCAAGCCAGCACCTTGTTGGCAGTGCTGCGGCGCTCCAGGAGGAGGCGGAACCGGTTGCAGGTACGTTTGTTGTCCTTCAGCCCTTGGCCCAGGCCCCGGTTGTCATCCTGCATGAGGCGCCGGTCCAGGATCACCTCCAGCTGGCCTGTGGAGAGCAAGTCCCTGCAGCCCAGGCTTTACCAGGCGCCAGCCACACCCCACAGCACAGAGCCCCCAGCGACAGCAGGACCAGGGCACCCTGCCCAGCCTGCAGCACCCCCTCCCCTGCTTCCCTTGGGGAGGACAGCCCCAGCTCCACAGCAGGTCCCCAAGGCACAGAGCCCAGCTTACCGCTGTGGAGGCTGGAGACCCCCAGGGCCTGGGCTGTGAGCAGTGTCAGGCGACTCTGCATGTCCTGGATGTAGGCCATGGCAGGCATTGGGTAGAAGTTGGCCTGCAGAGGCAGCTTCCGCTGGTACCTGCGGGGCTGGATCTGCCAAGGAACAGAGATCAGTGGCCAGAGGTGGATCCCACGGTGCCTGGTGCCAGAGCACTGTCCCCCTGTGGGCAGCTGCTGTCCCTCCCCAGCCTGCTGCATACCTGGAAACCATTAAGGTCCGTGAAGAAGGTGTCATCACTCTCAATGTCAGTGCTAAAGCGCAGGGCCAGCTCCTTGTTGATGTGGTCACGGATGTCCACCAGGCAGGACACATCCAGGGACAGGCCCTCCACCCCTGTGGGTAGGCAGTGAGAGGCTGAGCCTCAAGGGCAGCATGGCCCAGTTCCCTGGGCCAGCAACACCTGGCACAGCCTCAAGCCCTCACCTGGCACATTGTACAGCCGCACCACGGTCTGGACATGCTGGTAGTAGCTGGAAACCTCTGAGAAGAGAGGACCCTCCATCACCCGCACCACTGGGGGGTCCTTGGGAGCGTAGGGCTGGGGAGAGGGATAGCTGTGCTGACGCTGCTGCCTGAGGACAGTCCTACGGGCACAGCTGTCAGCTGCCTTCCACAGGTGGACCCTGTACCTTGGCCTCGCCGTCAGGCAGGAAGAGATAGGCCCCGCTTTTGTCCTTGGACGTCCTGGTGCCATAGACGAGAAATTCGCTGCTGACCCTGTGTGCCTGCTCCTCCCCAGCTGGGCGCAGGCTCTGCAGGTGTGTGCCAGCACAGCAGTAAGAGCATGAAGCAGCCGGATGTACCCCTCCTGTCCTCCATCCCACACCCTGTCAGAGCCCCGCACTCACCTGCAGCAGGCCCGTGCGCCCCAAGAAGCAGGCCTGCAGGTGCTGGTTCTCCAGGCAGAAGTCATCAGCAGCAGCTGGGAAGACGTGCAGGGGCANTCCTTGGCGAGCACAGAGAGGATCTCCAGCATCTCGCTGGCGATGAGCTGCTCGGCCACCTCCCGAGCAGCTGCCATCATGTTCATCACCACCACGGCGCCACGGTGCTGCAGCTCCGCACTGGGGCTCAGCAGCAGGGCCTGCAGGATCTCCAGCCAGTGCACCGTCTGCAGGGGAGCGGGGCCAACATCATCACGGGTCCCAAGAGAAGGGTTCCAGCTCCCCCCCCACAGCCCCAGCTCAGAGTCGGGCCCAAGACACGACAGGCTGCCCTGGCTTCTGGGGCCAGAGCTCCAGGCCGCCATGGGGAGGGAACATGGGACACGGGGTGCTGTGTTAGGGTGCACTCACCACCTGGGGAATCCGCTTGCAGATGGGGGGATGCAGGGTAGTCAGCATGGCCAGGGTGCCCGAGGCTGCCCGCCGCAGCTTCTCATCCTCCTCCCCACTGTACAGGACCATGAGCTTCAGCCGGTCGCTGCCCTCAGCCAGGAACATCTCCTGCACCTGCACAGGGGAAAGAGCAGCGATCGGGGGGGTGTGGTGGTCCAGCAGCCCAGCACAGACCCCAGCCCGTCCCGGCCTTCACCTCCTTGCTCATGGCCATGTTGCACATGCACTCAGTTGCGGCTAGCCGGATCAGCTCGTGCTCCTCAAACATGTAGCCCTCGATCATGGGCACAGCGCGCTCTTTCAGGATCTTCTGCCTGGGAGGCAAGCGGGCAGTGAGCGCTCCCTGCCCAGGGCAGCCCCCCAGGGCACAGCCAGCCCCTTCTCCCCCATCCCTACCGCAGCCTCTCGCTGATGCCAGCCAGGTTGGTCAAGGCCATCAGCCCCTCAAAGTTCTCCAGGCCCGAGCGCTGCAGGTGCAGGAGGCTGACCAGGGGCCGCACCACCTCATAGATCTGGGGAGACAGAACACGTGGCACTGAGTCAATGCCCGCTGCTGCTCCCAGCCGAGCCCCTGCCTGGCAGCCCCCAGCCCCAGCACTCACCCGCTCCCCAGGGAATGCCATCTCCGGGTTGGACGTGATGGTGATCTTTGCTAGGGCCTGCGCTGCCTTGGTCTGCCCCACCTCAGTGCCCTCCAGGGACAGTGGGATCAGAGCCTGGGGGCAGAAACAGCAGCCTGTCCTGCAGCCAAGGCCACAGCACCAGGGCAGCCACAGCTTTCCCCAGCCTCGTGTCCAAGGGAGCCAGTGCAGCCCTGCTAAACCACAGAGCGCCAGCACCCCGGAGCAGTGCAGGGCAGAAGCACAGGGGATCCATGCTCTCACCTTGCCTCCTCCCTGAGCAACCACACCACCCCGGTCTTCTGCCTCCTCCACCAGTGCCAGGAACACTCTAGGGACCAAGTGGGACTGGTTGCAGCACTTGGATGGTCACAGTGGGCCCAGGCTGCACCAGACTCCGGGACATCCTCCCTGCTGTCCAGGAGCTGGCCTTCAGCACAGGCACGCAAGTTCACCAACAGGATGCCGGCAGGCTGGGAACCCGGCTCGCTCCGTCCCACCTGGAGATGAGCTCCCGGCAGGAGCTGGTGAGCGCCGGGTTCTCGCTCTTCACCATGCAGGCCAGGGCCGACACCACGCCGGCCGTCAGCAGCTTCCGCACGCGCCGCTTCACGAACTCGGGCTTGTCCTGTGCCACGGGCAGGGCACGCTGGGCTCAGGAGCACCTGCGCAGGTGCCCGACCCCCCCGCGGGCCTCAAGGACACCGTGTCCGCACTGGGAGCCCAGGCTGTCCCACCACCCACTCTCCTAAGCGCAGCCTGCCCTGCTCACCTTGGGGTGCTGCTCCGGGATGTGCTGCTTGGCATACTTGGCCAGCTCCAGCATCTGCGGGTCCGGCTCCTCGTGGTCATAGCTGTTGGTACAGTTCACCAGCGTGGAGGCAACAGCATAGAGCACACTCCTGTCCTCTGACTGCGGCGACAGTGGGCACCTGTCACACTCACAGCAGGGAGGAGCAGCCAGGACTGGAGCCCACCCAGCTTGTCCCACACACCCCCCCGAGCATGAGCCCCACACCTGCTGCAGTACATTTCCCTGGTTTCCCTGATCCCACAGCTCTTGGTATGCACCTTGGCCAGCTGGAACATGGCCTGCATTGCTGCCTTGTCCTCCACAAACTCCTCCTTGACATCTGCATCGAAGGTGAGGTAGGCCAGGCCCTCCACAGCCCAGCGCCGCGTGCCCGCATCGATGGCCTCGTTGCAGAGCCACCTGGAGAGTGCTCCCTGAGCCTGGCTGTGGGGCTGTGCACAGCCCAGCTGCAGGGACCCCAGCTGGGGGGCACCTTACCCACTCCCCACACCCGGCCCCGCTCACTTGCGGCACTGCTTGGCCAGCTTCATGGTGGATCCCTCGGCAAACTGCTTCATGCTGAAGTCCGTGCCTCCAGCAGATCCCAGCTTGCAGAGTCCCTGCAGCCAGGAACAGAGTGTGGGACCAGGAATGCATGTAGGCAACCTCATGTGAGTCCTGGACCCACAGCAGCGGGGAGCAGCACTGTGACTGGCAGTCCTGCACCCACAGCCCAGCCAGAGCCCTGCCACACCCTGTGCCAGCTGCTCACCATGAGCAGTTCCACACCCACAGCCCACCCTGTGCCAGCTGCTCACCACGAGGGCGCGGATGCGGATGCTGTCCCTCTCGCTGTGCTTGTAGATCTCCTTGAGCAGGTTGACGCCGTTGGCCGTGATGAAGGAGGCGCGCTTGGCCTTGTCGGCCGCGTGGATCAGCGCCTCCACGGCCACCAGCTGGTGTGCCTCGCAGACAGAGGCGCAGAGGGACAGCACGCTGTCCATGATGCCCTCCAGCTCCAGCACCCTGTTCCCTGCATCTGAGGGACCCTGCAGCAGGCACGACACTGTCTGAATGGCCCGCAGCTTTCCCGGCAGCTCGTGCCCCTCGAACCAGCTCCTTCAGGGAAAGACCACCAGAAAGGGTCAGCATGATCCACCTGCTTCTCCCTGCCCCACCTGCTGAACCTTCCCCACAGCAGGTCCCCAGCCAGCTTTAGCACAGAGGTGACAGGTGCTGCCAGGCTGCAGGTGACAAAAGCCCCGTCACTCCCAGGACACCCTGGCTCACCTCACATAGTCCTCACACAGACGGTGGAAGTTTTCCCTCTCAGCATCACACTTCAGGTCCTCATACAGTTTGCTCAGCAGAACAGAGGTGCTCATGCGGCTGTTCTCTGTCACGGGCAGGCTGCCCGAGCTGCCGCACACGGTGCTGCCCACCTCCAGGATTTTCTTCAGGCCTGGGAAAGGTCAGGCAGCCCAGTGAGGGGCACAGTGGCATGTGCAGACCTGGGGCAGAGGAGCACAATGCCCCAGCAGGACACTGCTAGCCATTCCACTAACCCTGATCAATCACCCAGAGGCTCAGGCTGTTGTTGGTCTCCTTTGGTGACCTCCTGGGCACCACTTTGATGAGCAGGTTGAGGGCATTGTCACGGCCATGCGCTGAGGCCCCTTCCAGCACTAGCAGCTCCAGGAGGTGCTTGATCAGCAATTTCAGGTCCTTGGAGGAATCTTCCAAAAAAGACAGTGCCCAGCAGTCAGCACCCTGGGCATGGCCTCACACCCCCCGTGGTACAGCTGGCAGAGATGCTGCCATGACCAGGGGCTTCTGCCTCCTGTTAACCTTGGATCAGAGCCTGGCTTTGCTGCAGGGAGCAGTGACAGGGCAGCAGCAAATAGCCCCACGGCACCTCTTGCACCTACCTGGGGCTGTCCCCATACAAGAGCCAGCCAGGGCAGCCCACACTCACCCAGCACCACTGCATCCTCCTTCCCACGGAAGTCCTTCTGCAGCCCCTCCTTCAGGGAGTCGAACATGACGTGCAGCAGGTTGCAGGCAGCCAGGGACACCTGCTCGTGCTCCACACCCAGCACCGCCGCGAGACGGGGAGCCCCCAGTTCCGCCAGGATGGCCGTGGTCTGCAGGTACAAGCACACCTGTCCTCCGGAGCCCTTGGGGAAGCCTTGCCGCTCCCCAGCCCCTTATCAGGATGGTTTCCTCTCACAAGTTCAGGCCTGGCAGGTAACATCTCGGAGCTCCCCTGTGTCCCTCTGCAGCCTCCCCAGCATGGCTTTCCCCTGGGCCCAGCCCTGGGGTGTGGTGGCACCTACACGAGAGCGGTGGCCGGAGCACAGCCCCACCAGCGTGCGCAGGGCTGCCAGCATCAGGTCAGCCTTGGCCGTGTCCAGCAGCTGCATCAGCAGCCGCACACCGTCACTCTGGAAGATCTTCTCTGCTCCAGCCTCTTCTCGTGCCAGCACGATCAGGTTCTGTGCAGCCTGGGGAAGGAGAGTTCTGTCTGGGTCACAGCAGCACACTGCACAAGGAACCGATAGCAGCTGCAGGCACCCACTCTCCACCCCTGTCTTGGGGAGCATTCTGTGGGCAGCAAGCCCAGCCTGCCCAGGCAGCACCACTCAGCCACCACTGCCCAGGAGCAACAATCCTCCCCTCCTCTCCTCCCAGCCACAGCACTGCACCCCACTCCCTGAGTTCAGACTTTCTGCTTCTTCTCCGCATCCTTTTCTTCAAGATCCAGCAAGATCTGGAACATCTGCTCTACTTTCGAGTCCGTGCAGGCCATGGCCTTCATCTGCAACAGAGCAGAAAGAGCGGCTCAGCCCTCCCCGCCTTCTCCTGCCAGGCACAGCCCCAGCGGGCCGGCAGCCCCAGTGCGCCCCGCTGACCTTCTCATGCATGCT